AAAAATATTATTTTGTTTTAAAGTAGGAATGACTGGAAAAAAAGGGAATGGGGTATTACAGGGGATAAATGCTATGTTTTGGCGTAGATGTCCTTAGCCAGTGGACAGTAATATATAATGACTAGGAAATGGGGTACATCCTGGAGATGAACTCAGGGTAATGGTGTCACAGAAATGATCAGGAGTCAAGCAAGAGTGCTGTCATGTCTGTCAACCTTTTCATTTCCTGTGCTGGTCCTTGACCTTGACTTCCTGTGAGCTATGGACCAAATATCTGTGTTCACCTTYTCAAATTTATGCATTGAAGCCCTAACTCTSAACATAACATGATTGTATCTGGAGATAGGGCCATTGGGAGGTAATTAGAGTTAGATGAGGTCATGCTATTAGAGACCTCATAGTTTCTCTTTCTCTCTCCTTTCTGTGCCATGTGAGGACACAGAGAGAAGGTGGCAGTCTGCAAGCCAGGAAGAGAGCGCTCTCCAGAACCCAACCATGCTGGCTTTCTGATCTCTGACTTCCAGCTTCCTGAACTGTAAAAAAAAAAAAATTCTATTGTTTGTCAGCCAGTCTATGGGATTGGCATGGCAGCCTGAGCAGAATAAGATACTGTCTTCCCACATGGAGTTTTGTCTACCTTTTAATCCATTCTCTATGACTTCTGAAATAGAAGTGACCATGAGACTCTCTTGCTTAGAACATTTCAGTGGAAAACAAGACAAAACCAAACCAAAGCAAACAAAAAAAGTTTCAATATCTTTCTATTATTGTTAATATACCCAAATTCTGTGACATGACTCTCAAGTGCTTCTAAGAGCACTTTTACCCACTGTTTTTATAATCTAATTTTGATCCTCTCACACTTTAGCCACATTGATTTTGTTAAGGTTCCGTATACACTATTATTTCTATAGACCTCATATAAAGAGGCTTTGTTTAATGCCCTCCCTTATTACTGGACCCACTTCCTTTCCCCCTTTTGAAGCTCATACCCTTTTACTCACACTTCAGGTCTCCTTTCAAATGGAGCTTTCCTAAGAGGCTTTTCCTAACTTGCAGAAGAAATCAATATCCCTGATTCTAACATTGAAATCTTCTGCCCTTCCCTGATTATACTCCTCAATTGTTACTTTTTTCACTTAAAGTCTGTCTTCTTAGCTACTAAAATGGAAGTGCTGGGAGGGTGCATAGTAAGCCTTTCTTGTTCACCATGGAAGCAGAGTACCTTCAGAGGTACTCAGTGTGCACAAATGAATGAACAACCCAGGGAAGAAACAGCAGACTCTATTTCTGCTTGCCCCAGCACTGAGCTTGATGGCTCTGGATGACAGGTGTTTGCCTGTTACCCAGACCTCATTATCCCTGGGGTAGTGGCTTCCTTGAGCTGGAGATACTCTCTGTTCCCAGAACTGTTAAGGAAAGGAGGAAGACCAGTATGAACTAGTTTCTAACATAGGAAAATAGAGTAGATTTGTCAAGGTATAGATCAAGGAATTTGATTGCAAATTTGGGATAGAATTCCAAAACATATTACTAAATGTATTGTTAACTACACAAGGCCCATTTGAAGCCCAATAAATGTTTTTATTTTAAAATTTAATGGATTATAAATGAATGTCTGTGAGCACTTAGAAAAGAAAGAGTTGATCAACATGAGTCATCATTGATTAAAAATACAACAGGACATTTTTGCACTTAGAAGTTTCACCGTGACATTTTGATAAGCTCCCACTCACCCCTCCTATCTTGGAGTTCTGAACACATACCAAAGAATAAAAATCTGGAAAATATAAGTTCAAGGTATTTAAATCTGAGAAACTCCCCCAAACACCTATCCATCCAGCAACAATGCAAAGCCCTCTTATAAAAGCATGGTTGGGGAGTGAAGTTTAGGGTTGATGCTTCAGTGAGTTTCCTTCTCTGGCCATCTGTCCCTACCCTATTCTCTTTTCTCCTGCTTGTCCTGAGACTGAAATGAGTCTATGGAGGAGATCCTGAGTTCACTTCCCTAACCACTAGAKACATCAGTGAGACTGTCCCATTGGTACCCCCAGGTGTGCTTACACGAAGTGCAAAGGAAAGATTGCACTTGGGGGCTGGGGACACGTGGCTCAAGTGGTAGTGTGCTTGCCTAGCATGTGTGACGCACTGGGTTCGATTCTCAGCACCACGTAAAAATAAAGATATTGTGTCCACCTAAAACTATATATATATATATATATACTTGGATTTGGTTCCTTGTCATAAAATTGACCTCCTTCCTGCTAAAGTGTGATCTAATGATTGAATGACCCAATCTTTGACCAGGAGCTGAAAAAGTTCAGCGATATTAGCAGTTTCCCTTCACCATATGCAGAAGCTGGTATGTGGAAAAGGGGTGTAGATGTTGCATGCACATGCACTCTCTCTTTCTCTCTCCTCTCTTTTTGAATCTGCTACAATGACTTATGGATTATAGGACTGTTGTAGATATTAGATAATAGTAATACCTAAGCTGACAGTAACTGAGTATTTTTATGTGCTAAGTCCTGTTCTAAGAACTTCATAATGAATTAACTTACTTAGCCACTAATCAATCCTACCAGCTTAAGGTTTCAATCCCATGATCTGAGTGATTTGTGAGGAAAACACAGCTAGTAAATGGCAATGTTGGGATTTATACCCGACAACCCAGACCTAGAGATGGGCTTTACTGGAACACCAGTAGGCCCAGGAAGAAGGTAGATTCCTCTAAGACACTTGACAATGCCTCTAAAATGTCTTCATGGATACGATAGGAAAATGAGATCTGGAGATTACAGTGTTAAGGGGGCTATTAATACAGAATGAACCAGAAAACCAAAGAATACTGTTCCAGGCCATGGCAGAGGGAACCCTAGGGGGTCCTTAATGGAGTTTCACAGGACATCCTAGAATTGTTAACTCATTTTTGGCTACAGGGATACATTGGTTGCCTGAATTGAATCCATTGAGACTTAGATAACTTGGACCAGGTAGATTTGGGTCCCAAAGACCAGCTCTACAAGAATGGATGTGGCTTAATGTAACACAGCAAAGGAGTTCCTATTTTCCTCTTGCACTTGAATCAACAATGAGATGCATTTGAAAAAAATTCACAAGAGCCTAGCTGTATTCTGTTTGTTAATGGCTAATTAGATGATTAATCTAGAACACAACTAATTTATTTAAGGACAKAATGTAGTGTCCTTCAGGGGGAAGATGGCTCAGATAAGAGAGATCTGAAATCATTTCACATTGAGGGGACTCAGAGTAACTAAAGATGTTTAAAACTTGGAAGGATATATTGCAGTAARTTTTGGGACTATCTTGAAAGATTTGAAAAAAAAAATATCTCATGGAGCAAAGATGTGACCTACTCTATATTAACTGTAGAGGGCAGTCCTGGGTCTACAGGTTATAGGGAACTACATTTATCTAATTGTTGTGCAAGGAGGGGAAAGTTATGACATCTCACACATACTGAGTGCTCTAGATGCCAGCACTAAAGTTAAGGTCTTAATATGCCTCTGCTAGAAAGTTGTAGATCAAATTTATACTCATCACTACAAGCATCTCATTGAACCGTTATTAAAGTCTCTACTTAGTAATTGCTTATTAAATGACCTCATTTAATAGTTGCCCTTTTGACTGTTATTATTATACCATTACTGTTTTATAGACAATGGAATAGAGAAGTTCAGTTACTTTCCTGGAATCACCCTGCTTTAAGTTACTGGCTTATAACCATCTGGACCCAGGCATTCCTGCTACTATTACTGCCTCCCCGAGTTATGTCTCTAATAGGGGTTGGACCAGGGCTGTTCATTAGGAGTATAATGTGAGCCACTGATGAGAGCCATATGTGTAATCTGGCTTTTTCTAGTAGCTACATTAAAATGTTTGAAAAAGAAATTAATTTGKATTACATGCGTATTTATATCTTAACTGATACAGTAACCGAATTGACTTACTATATCCAATAAGTCAACTATAGTTTCATCATTCATTGAGACAATGCAATGAATATAAAAATAATTAAGCTATTTTACATTTTGATCTTCGAACTAAATCCTGTGCCTATTTTACACCTAAGGAACATCTCAATACTAGTCACATTTCAAAGGCTTCACAATGTTTTGTGTTGCTAATGGACAGTCTCAACATAGGGTTAAAATTTTAATCTCCTTGGAAAGGGGCTGAATCTCAAAGGGGAGCTTTGCTTTCCACATTAGATACTGATGCCTCTCAGCTCCCCAGATTCTCTCCTTTTCCAGTTAGAAGGGAAAGCAGAGCAACTGTCTGCCTTTTCCAGTGAAGCTATAGCAGAGATTTCTGAATTTGGAGAGGACAGGTGTTTCTCTTGCAATCTCCTGCCAGCAAAGCTGAGATTTAACATGTTTGATTTCTGCTTTGAAAATGAAGTAGTTTGCATGACTTAAATAATTTCTCCTAAATACCAAATTGTGGGTAGGACGTCTTGCTTTCTGCGAAGTTATTTAAAATTAGGGAATCCCTGACTTCATTGAAAGAAACCTTGTCGTTTAAAATTATAGGGGAGGTAAATACATCGGTTATTTTTCCACACTGCCCAAGATCAAGGCACAAAGGCAAATGTGCCCAACCTTTTAAAGTAGCCTCAAAAGAGCCCACCGAAGTTTCCCCCCTTAAAATCCCAAACTACTTGCCAAAAAGGAAAGCATATAAAAAGATGCCACGCGCTTTTGGCCTCCCGGAGGTGGCGCTACGAGGGTGACGAAGTTAATTAGTGCCWGCAAAACGCCGTGTGTGAGCTCATCGGAGAAGTCATGTTCTRCACACACATTATTTATAGCAGATATAAGGCGTGCATGGTGTTTGACATTTCCCTCTTGAAGTAGGGGGACTTCATAAAGTCGTGGGCAACCCCTCCTAAACAAAGTGCGGTGGGCAGGCAGCAGGGCGCGCGCCAACCACTSTAGTCCCGGCGCAGGTGCCGGGGGCGGCGGCGGCGGCGGCAGCAACTCCGCAGCGTCCGTTCGGGAGGAGAGTTCGCGGCTGCTCTCGGGATGCCTTGCAGATGCAAAATGTGTCTCTGGCCAGCAGGAGGAAGGAAGAGGAAGTGAGAGCAGCGACAGCCGGCAGCGCAGCAGCCGGCCGACCCAGAGTGTAAGTGCGTGTGTTTGGGCGAGCGGGAGCGGGCGAGGATGGGCACGGGATAGAGGCAGAGCCACCCACACCGCCGCAGCCCGGAGCTGGGCAACAGAGCCTCGGATTTTCCCTTCAATGGTCGCGGGTCGTCAGAGCTCTAATAGCCAGGAGCTCCCGTCGCTGCCGCCGCTGTCCTGCGACCCCGGGCAGGTTCGTAAAGTTTCCTGGGCTGGCTCAGCGCCCCGACTCGCTGACCTCAGCGCGGCCCGGGAGGGGGTTGGGACTGGGGCGGGGAGGAGGCGTCCTGCTCCGAGGACTCCGGGCGCCGCGGAGACACTTTTGTTTCCTCCCTGGGGGCGCCACRGCTCGGGCGGGGGTGGCCACCGCGCTAGGCTGGGTGAGGGCTGCCGGCGCGTCGGGGCGCTCTGCAGTTGGGGAAGTCTGGGCAGAGCGGGTGGTCCGAATGGCGGTGGGAACAGAGGGACAGGGCTCTGGGGGTGCGGCGCGGGAGGATGGAGCGCAGGGCCCGGGCCCCGAGAAGAGCGGAGACGTTTGGATTGGGGTCGGCTGGAGGAGGGAGCAGGAAGGCTTGGCGGTTGGCGCGTTGGGATGTTGGGGACAGAAGAGTGTGGGGTTGGGAGCCTGGAGTCTAGATTCCTGGGGCCGGAGACCGGAGAGTCTGCGCCCGAGACGGCGGCTGGCTGCTCGGACTCTGGGGTTTTCTCCGGCCATCGCAGATGGGAGGGAATCCTCTGGCCAGCGCGTTCCTGGGAGCTAGCAGTGATGGGCTAGATGGATGGGRGGCTCACAGGGTGGCGAGAGGAGGTGATTCAGGTAGCTGGGATTCCTGGGGGGTGTTTGTTAGTCAATACCCGCCTCCTGGGGACACACTGAGGACCCGGAAAGGCGGCAAGGGGTTTCCATAGAGATCTTGGTATGGGAGAGGGGGACGCACCCGGAGCGTCCACCGAGAAGCGGGGCACCAGAGCACGGGACCCCTGGAATCAGAGCGGAGAGGGGCAGCCTCGACCTCCCAGAGTAGCTTTGAGGAAGAGGAAGTACAGAACTCAGTCGTCCCGGGGGTGCGCGTTGTGTGTTTGGGGCTGGGAAGTCCGTGCTATACCGCTGGCGCGCGCGAGGCGGCGTGTGTGTGTGTGTGTGTGTGTGTGTGTGTGTGTGTGTGTGTGTCCTCGACTGCGAGATCTGGGCAGTAGGGACTCCAGCTCCTCTGGCTCTTTCCCATCTGGGGGCCATTTGAAGTTGGCAGCTGGGGAGGAGTTGTTGGCGGCTGGACCTGCTTTGATGAAAAGCTACAGGGTTTAGTCCGCCCCGCCCCCTCCGTCTCCCCCAGTAGGGTAGCTCCAAGGGCCTCTGGACAGCTCCCTGAGGCTTGCTCAACACAGTTTGTGATGCATCCTGGGCCTCCCACTACTGGCCAGGGCTTATGTGGACCTAACTGATCACAGTTAAGATTTTGGAGAACCTAAGATGAATTTTGTGTTCCTAGAACCAAAGGCCCCCAGTCTGGAGCTGCCAGTGACTTGGGGGTATGGTAGGGGGGACTATGGGAGAATACTTTTTTTTTTTAACTTATATAAAATAAAATTAACTAATAACTTGTATTTAAATTCCAAATATTTGAGAGCATCTTGGATACTAGAGAGACTTGTCCAGTCACAGTTTTAGATTACAAAGACTGTCAACATCTATTATGAAGGTCTCCTCTATGGTTTTTCATGTGGTTTCACCTCCATACCTGTTTCCCAAGGTTGTTTCAAGGATTATAGTTCCCTGGTTTATAGAACTTGGATCCTAGTAAATCAGGAGGTCCGTGCCCCTGCAGGCCTATCACCAGACTTAATTGTTCTTCCCCCTACTCTCTCTCTCTCTCACTCTCTTTCTCTCTTTTATAGCTACCATTTGATCCTTGCTCTTTCCTGTGGTACATTTCCTATCAATTGAAAGCTGTGGTTAAGTGTGCATGTGACCTTCTTTTCTACCACATTTATTACTCAGGTTTTTGTTTGTTGGTTTGTTTTCGTTCAATTAAATGACCTGGTAAATTGTGAGGGAATAACTCAAAGTGTTGGAACTGGAGTGGGAGAGGTRTCAGGAGGGAAGGGAACTGGGGAACAGAAAGCTTGGTATGTGTCAGGAAGGGGGCGGGCTGGGAGGTAGGCCCAGACATGACTGAGGAAACTCAGGACTTGGAGCAGTCATTGAGTCACCRGATAGGTGGTCCTTCTGATGGATGGTCATGTCCCCCAGAACACACACAATGTCCTTGTTGACTGCAGCCGTTCTGRGGACCTTACAGTCTTCTTTTTCAGAGTTCTGTCCCCAGGGCCTTTGCACACACTGTTTCTTTTGCACAGGATTTCTCCTGCAGGTCCAGATGACTCACTCCCTTGCTTCCTTCAGGTAGGTCTCTGCCCACTTGTGTCAGCTTACCCGGATTTCCTTGACTACTCCATATAAAATAACAGCCAAGCCTTTCTTGGTCCTTTTATGTTTCTAACTTATTTCTCTTAGCATTTTTCTACCCAGTAGATCATATTTTCATCTGTTTATTTGATGATGGTTTTTCTCTTGTTGGTAACTTCAATATTTCGATTGATTCCTAGCACATAGTAGGTGTTCAGTAAAYGTTTGCTGACTGAATGAGAAATACCCATGTTGGGTGAGGCCTGCCAAGGAAATATACAAAGAAAATGTTTCTGCCTCTGTGGCAAGTGCAAAGCCCAGGGTTTCGCGTTTCTTCAGCATCTTCTCCTCCATGTTTAGCCACTCTTTCTTTCAGACTGCTTTCTGCCTTGGGTATCCTCCTCCCTTAGAATTTCAGACTGAAGAAGGGAAGCAGAGGGGTGATTTCCTTGGAAAAAGTAGAAAACCAGCGCACTTTATTAAAAACACATCCCCACTCCTGAGCTGCTATTTTATCCCTCTCCTTGGGGGAAAATCTTTTCAAAGTCTGTGTTGCTTTAGCCCAAGAAAACTCCCCTTGGAGGAGCTTTGTCAATGGTGTGAAGTCAGAGACGTAAACTGGGTCCCAGCGCCCTCTCCCACAAAATGCAAGTGAAGGCAGAGGAGAGGGGGGCTGTGAGGGAGGCCGAAGACACTGGGGTGGCACATGCAGGGGAGAAGAGAAAAACGTGCCTAGGAGAAGAAAAATGGAAGACAGAAAGTCGACGGGGGCTGCTACATCATAGACATTTATGAACTTACAGTAGTGAAGAAAAGCCAGGGCTTAAGTGTTTTCATGTAATTGACCTCCTTTGGGTGTTTGGTGTGAATGGGTGGGGAGAGGTGAAGGAAGAGAGGGCTTTGAAGCCCTTGCCTAGAGGATGTGGCTGGGGGTGTGACAAGGAGCTGCACTGAGCACACACTTTGCTTACTCCCATCTTTGCCTAAGGCTGGAGGCTTAGAGATGATCATTCCTATGGAGGTAACATTTCCTGTCCAGATCTCACACAGTGGGTACCATTATGGTTTGTAAGTGAAGCCTGCAACCACTCTTTAATGCCTACAGCCATCCAAGTAGATAGAGTTCGTTTATAAGACATCCTATTGAATTTGAAAAAGGTGGGGGAAATACTAAACCCTCTCGGTATCACAAAGCCTGAAGTGTTTGCTGCTAATTTTGCAATTACTGTTCTGCTTCCTTCTAGTCAAGGAGACCTGTGCTTTTTAAGATTAAGGTTATAACCCAGGAGGAGGCCATGATGCCAATTTAGTAGCTCTAAGACCAGCATGTAGTAAAGCATGAAATAAAAGAGAGCAGAAGGGAAAAGGGTGTTTCACAAAACGGGTGTTGAATATTGATGTCTATTGTATGGCTCAATATGAATGGTGCTTTTTTTTTTTTTTTTGATAATTCTGGAGGTTCTTGGAGTCTATGTAAACACTTAATCAAGGATTTTGATGAAAATGGTTCAGAGGGCCATACCTCAAGAAGTACTGAACTGTCCCCTTTTACAAAATGATGTTGGCTTAATTCCCTGCGAAAGATGCTGTTTACAAATGTTGAGCCAGATGCAATAAAAGAGTCAGTCGTTGACTTAACTTTAAAAAATGCTCCTGTTAATAGGATTTGATGGTGTGCTAGGCCCAGATGCTGTCATCTTAGAGGGACTGGAAACCCAAGTGTCATGTTTTCACTGTAGTGATAGGGAGAGGCACGCCATCCATCTCAATAGCTCTTTCACTGTACTTAGGAAATGGACCACACATGTGCTTTTATTCCCCGAGTTTTATTTTAGAGATTTTTGAGGTCTTTGGAAATATGAAATTTATTCTTCTTGACCTTTCCTTTTAATTTTGATGCCTACCATTCTCCATATGTGTGATTTTTAATTATTTTCAGAGGCTTGCAAAGACAATGGTAATCTCTCCTGGTGGCAGCCACACGGCTGTGATGCATGATTATTAGCTCAAGCATTTCAGCGGGCCTAGGCTTGAGAMTGACTATCCAAAGATAGTGGCTGAGAGTTTCAGCACTGTTTGCCATCCATACAGGGGATGGCCCCTGTGACGTCTGCCTAGCCTCCTCAAATGCTTTCCAGTATGCCAGCACAGCACTTTTAGGTTCAGTAAAGCCAGACTGCGTGTGTCATGCACACACTGGTTGCTACACTCAATTCCCTGGATAATTTCAGTTGACTGAGTGTTAACAATTGCAACTTATCTATAATAGCTGAAATTCAAGCCTGCAAAGCCAGATCATGACCTGGGATTCAATTAACTACTTGTGCCATAGTATTCTGTTTTCTAACCTCTTACAAAATAAGTGCAGGTACCAATTGAGCAGAATTTTGTTGCCGGCCTAAAGTGAGGTGAACAGTTAAGTATCAGATAGGAATAGTGTGGGTGAAGGAGTGCTAGCTCATCAAAAGGAATTAACCACGGCAACAACCTGGCAGAGTGCTGAGTAGAGAAATTAGTCACATGTATAAATAGCAGGAGATGCTTCTTAGTATTCTGGGCCCCCACAAACACTGGTTTCCAGAATCTGAGTGAGATTATTATTGGAACCTCAGTTTTAGGAATTGAGGGTGCAGTTTGGGCTATTTTAGCTCTGGCAGTTAATGTAGGGAACAAAAACTTCCCTCAGTACAAAAAGGGACTTCTTGCTGCTCTCTGGAGCTGCTATGTGTTGGGCAGATTGTATTTCTGGATATGGAGCAGTGGTTTGAGAGAATGATGATCAGGTA